CTAGATTTTAGTTTATAATATAGTATAGTATGATGATTTGCTTTATTCCAAAATAGTACTTGTGATACAGAATGGAATTCTCAGCATTTTTACTACAGTATTGCATCCAGTTAGTAAATTATCAATAAATAAAATTCTACATAGATTATGGGTATACCCATATAGTCTCAGTTAATTTTGACAACAACATATTGGCATATCGGTAGCAAAGCCAAAAGTGAACAGTGTTTGAAGGTGTTAGAAAAGTAGGTCCCAATCCGACAAATGTGGGGAAAATCGTGTCCAAAAAGGGGACAAATCTGGGACATCCAATTGAGTTAAAAAGGGGACAGAACTCGGAAATGCTAAGATTTGTCCCCTTTGTCCCAGGTCCCCACTTTGTCCTCTTTTTCGGCACATTGTCCCCTTTCTTCTAAATCATGATGTCCCCTGAATCAGCAAAATGTCCCCCTTCTGTCCCAAAAACAGACAACTCAGAAGCTCGAAATCTCACCAAGGCACCAGCGTTATTCCTTCTTATATTCCATCTTACTCCACTGATCATGTACATAGTGCTCATAAATTGCCTTAATTTTTTTCCTTCATTCTTTCCTTTCTCAACATATATATTTTTTTAAAAGAAAAACAACTATTTTATTACCATCTTCACACTTTCTTGTTCATTCACTGTTATTGTACACCACCTTGCTACTTTTATATATCGAAGCTTGCTGTTATCCCACCAACCTTCTAAGGGGGGGGATAACCTGTAGTGTACATTGTACCTTTGAACTTTTGTTTGAATGAACTCAGCCTGACCTTTAACCCAACTTCCACTTTGTATTCCTGAACCTCCTGTACTGTTTCGGTTTCGCTCTCTCGCTGTGCTTTCACCTAGCACACTCTCCAAGCTTACACCGCCTCACCTGCAGATAAGTGTGTACCTTTTATTTCTTATCAAATTCCATATCTCTTTTGTGTAAATACAATTCTGTTCCAGTCACACTTGCCATCTCAAGTCTTTTAACCTTGATTCCGTTTGTTAGTACTTGCACGTTAGGCAGAGTACTATTAAGGCCATAAGCGGTGAAGAAGTTTTGTAAGAGTGGTTACTTTTAGGTCGAAGTTAATCCTAAGTCTCACAATTCAAAGAAAGGTTCGTTATGGAACTAAATATATTTAATTTGAGTATTGGTTAAAGGAAAAAAAGGTAACAAAAATTCGTCAAGTTAATTCTTAAAGATTAATGAACATTAACAGTTACAAATGATACGCTTAATTATTAATAATAATAATAATATATTCTCATTATTTACATGACGGACGCCAGTTTACAGGAGCACATCAAGAAATACAGAAATATTGTCTTCGCATTAAAAAAAAACCAAGTATGCATTGGATGGATTACAAATACTTGGGAAAAAATAAAGCTTGAAGTCATATGAAGTCTAAATGCAGCTTGACATCTGCTCGCCGTCATCAAGTAGGTCCATTGACATATTCTGAAGATGAAAAAAATTTAGTTAGCAAGGTAGTAATCAAAGGTAACACTTACCCAGATATATGACATAATCATAATCATATACTAAACGTGTTTATTGAGCGTTAAAAATTAACTTCATTATTAAGTACAAATCAATTATTTGTTGACATACAAATACTCACACTGAAAGACCTTAAGTGTGAGTAATTTCTAATGTTGAATTTTCCAATAAACATACAAAAATAATTGAGTCGTAAAAGACAAACCATGTACTGTTGAACAAACTGTCTACCTAAACACCTAGCGCATATAATTAACAGAACTAGTTATCATAACGTTGACAATTACACGCTACTTACTGGCAGTTGCATTATACATTTTGACAGCATTCATTTAATTAAATTGTCACTTACAGCAGAGATGCTCTGGTCACTCTTCTTCTTGTCAACAGCAACCTGTGAAAAATAATTTGCGTTTATTGATATTCATACAAAGGTTTGTAGTATAGTAACTTTAATTTAACAGAAACTTTACTTACTCTTGGCGGGCTACACCTTTTGTCGACACGGTCACGTACGTCATGGAAGTAGGCCTTAGCAGTTTCTGTCAAAGCTTTTATAACTTCGTCCTCGGGCATCGTAGCAGAAGCGAACTTGCTGACAATGACGGCTGAAAGAAATATTTAAATAAAGCAAGCTTACACGTTATAACTTTGTAGAAGTGACATTTTAAGACGGCTAGCTTCTTTGATGTTCCGTACGCTGTGAAGCGACTTGACAGCTTAGGCTCCCATATGTAATTCAGCATTCGTTTCAACGAAGACTGCGGATTGTACGATAAATTCTCAGCCAGTTTTGTCATTTGAACGTAATTGAAGGTTAACTGTGAACTTACGAAAGAATCTCTGAATTTTGGGTTTTTCACTGAAGCTTCAAGTCGGTTAAACTCTTCTTCAGTCGTCAAGGGGAATTGCAGTTGACTATTGTCAATTGACGACTTCCCGGTTCCAAGGTGGTGACGTCGCCAGACTTATTTACTGAAACAAACTGCCTCACCAGTTTACTAAGGGACTGCATTTCTTCTTGAAAGGAAGCCATTTTTCCATTCAAGAAATCAATTTTTCCTTCAAGGGACTTCACTTTTTTGCTAAGGGAGTGTGACTCAGTCACCGATTTGTCATTGGAATCAGTGATTTCCTTACTGCAAAGTAACTAGTGATTAAAAACAACATACGTAGCCTGCCTATTTGGCTGTGTGATTGGTGACGACGTCGCCACTGGCATTTGTGGACTGGAAGTGCTGAAGGAATAAGAATATGAAATGAATGCGCTACCTGGCTGTTGGTGCCATCACAGTCTCCATGAAATTAGTGTCTGGGTATTTAGATGGCCAACACAACTTCTGTGCCTCCACAGCTTCCAGTTCAGCTGAGTCATAAACGTACGAGGCGAAGTTCTTTGTCCCCACTCTGTATTGTGTCATTAACGGATAAGAAGAATCTACCTTTGACGTTTGGAATTGGTTAGGGGCAATGTCTCCTCGAGATTAACTGAATTGGACAGGATATTATGCACTCTTTGTACAGTCGTCAAAGCACTCTTGGCTTCTCGAAAAGAGTCTATTTACGGGAATATAGTTAATACCAAAACAGTTACCTTGCTCTGCTAACGTCTGACAGTTAATTATGTACCAATCCGGTCTAGGATCGATACATGCTTCAACTTCGGAATCGGTTACATCTCTGTGATACACGCACATCTCATCCGACGGCATCCATTTTCTGGCGACTATGAAGAAGTCCTTTGTCCCCTTTTTTGTTATCACAGCGTAAGTTTTCCTTCCGTTCTGTAAGAAATAAGTAAATATGATATAAACGAAGTTTGCAGTCTCATTAGTCCGTGCTATAATATTTACTGGCGTAAGCGGAAGAAAGAAACAAAGCAGCACATAACGGAAAAAAAAGAAAAAGAAAAAGAGAGAAAAGGAAAAGAAAGAAAGGAAATGTTGTACCTATAATTGTTCTACTGTCTATTTAATGAATTATAGGTGTCACGCCTAATGCTTTCTTTATCGCACAGAACACGAGCTGAGTAGGGTATAGTTGAGTTTTTGTACTTGCTAGTACAAGCGTATAGTTTTCTATATAGGCTACTGATTTGCCTGATGAGATACAAGGGTAGAGTTGTAAATGAAGAGGGTGGTGTGAGTTACATAAAATGGATTTAGCCCATTTTTCACATGAGTCCATGTTCCTGTCATCCAGAATATTAACAAGCTGGCTAAGTGGCACGAAGCTTACCCTGCTGACAACCTTTAACATCCCGCATAATATGTTATAGTCTTTCTTCAGTAGCCCAGGAAAAACTAAGAGGGAACAATAGAGAATAATAGGCAGAATGTGAGAGTTAACATTTTGTAGGAGTAAGGGTTGGGTTAATCCAGAATGTCTTAACTTCTTGATGTAGAAGGTAAGACGGAATATTTTCTTAGAAACCTCCAAGATATGAGACGACCAGGAGAGATCAGCACATAGAATGACGCCTAGGTATTTAATTTCCGACTTGGTTTCTATTTCAGTGCCATCTATGTTGCACACCTCGTGAGAGCTAACCAGTTTGTTTAGGTCGGATTTATGCCTAAAGGTGAAATTGACTGTTTGACATTTAGAGGGATTTAAGGTTAGACCGTTTTCCTTGGACCACTGGCTGATTTCTGATAGAAAGCCATTAAGTTTAGAGCAGTCACTTTGACATTTGACAGGCAAAGATACAGACAGATCGTCAGCATATTTGACAAAATTAATGTCATTTGAACATAGTAAGTAATGTAGAAAGAAAGAAAAGAGAAGTGGGGAGAGTACAACACCTTGGGGGACACCAGCTTCAGTGAGCACAGCAGAGGAGGATTTATCTTTGTATACAGTGTACTGCATTCTGTTAGAGAAGTAGAAATGCAACCAGTTAGTGACCCAGGACTCAATTTTTGTCATAGAGAGCTTATTTAGCAAGAGACATCTAGATACAGGGTCGAAAGCAGAAGTGAAGTCGAGAAACATGCAGTGGACGTATTTGACACCTTTATCTAATGATGAGACGATATTGTTGTGTAAGACGGCTGCACCGTCTAAAGTGCTTCTACCCTGTCTATAGGCAAATTGTTTGGGGTCTTCAAAGCTTTTAATGGAGGGTTCAAGTTTAAGAAGTACTAGTTTTTCCATAAGCTTTAGAGTTGAACGGTAAATTTATATTGTAGGAGTCGACATGTATGTTAACTGACATAGCACCAATATAAGCTTCATTATTCTATTTGGCTTTTTTCTTCATACTGTGTAAAAAAATATTTTCCAAATCTCCTTGGTTCATAAGATCATCTAACATGTAATAATGCTTATAGTTTGCATTAAACATTGTATTGTTCAATATCACGCAGTTATACACTCTTCCTATTGGTTAAAAAGAAAAATCAATAAGTCATCCAATAAAAAGCTGTTAGAATTCTAATATTCTTTATATATATTTACATACACACTCACAAATGCATGAATGTTCCTTCAAAAGAGAGTTCAGTACAGCTTGATTACCAGAAAATTAATGACCAGTTAATAAAGATCACAGAAGATCTTCATGAATTAAAATCTCAATTACCATCATTTTACAGATTTATAAATATTGGTGCATTAAGACGTGATATTAAATTACTGGTGAATTTATGCCAAACTAATGACTCGCCACTTACTACATCTGGAACCAATAGTCGAACAGATCGAATGTCAGCTCATTGTAAACTTGAAGATTACACCTGTTTGTCTGCAGAACAAGATTCTGTCTCGGATACATTCCACTCTGAAGAAATGATCAAGCATACTCCAACAGTATATAGTACATGTACAGTACAAACAGGTACTGATACACCAAAATGGCGGAAACTATGCGGTAGGGCTAAATTATCCACCGCTGAACAGCTGATTAGCAATGCTAATCAAACCCTACAAGTTTCTATTACACCACATAATATACGATATGGAATTAATTCAGTTTGTCAAGAAATCTACACTTTACAAATACTTTTAGAAAATTTGAAAATATTAACTCAAAAAGTGATTGATTCACAGAGAAAAATGGAAAAAGCTGTTGACTATGATGGATTAAACAACTTTTTACACAGTAATGCATTAAAAATGCGTAAAATTATGTTACGTTTAGTTGAATATGTGGAGAAGATTAACAATCGAAGATTTATTGATAGAATTCTACTACATTTGAGACGTAGAAGTACAGCCAGTTATTTTCTTTATTTAATTGATCAAGAGAAAGGTGAAAAAGCGAAATGGAAGATATGACTTTAAAAAACAATAATAATAGCTAAATGTACTGAAGGAAAGTTGATTTGTTTAACTACTTTGTTTTAGTTGAATACACTTAATGTACTAGTAAATTTTTATTGTTTCAACAGTAAACACAGTGGTTTGAAACAATTCCAGGCTGTGACGCTTACTTTTTGTTCTAGTAATGTTACGAAGTTACTGGCAAATTATTGAGTTGCCTCATTTATTTTGAAGAAATGAATGGTGAAAATGGTGTCTAAACATCTTAGACTCTGTTAGGAAGTAGTTTAATATTCAAGAGTTGGTTTGCAAGGATTAAATCTGTTTTTTACGAGTTTGACCACGGGTTGATACCAGTTAGAGAACCATTGAACTCCATCAGCTAAGAGTACTGGACAGCTGTTTCCTCCATCCTAGCTTGGGAATCATCGGCAGTACGCATCCACTAGAGTTTCTTGGAGTTCTAGTGAGAAGTCGTGATCAGTGAGGTCCAACCAGTCAAGTGTGAGGGTGGATTTTTTGGTTATAGCTTGATTCCACACAGTATTTTTGGTACAAGTATGGAATTTTCAGCATGTGATATCAGTAGCCCAAATTTTGCAGGCCAACCATTGATATCGGATGTGCGTCGGCAGGGGATCGAACCACGGACCATGTGCATGGTCGGCGACAGTCCTAACCGCTTTGCCACCGATGACAGTGGTTGGTGGTCGCGCTAATCTCATCACAAATTGGTAGAAGTTAGAATTCATGCACTGGCCATAGAGGAGTCGGGTCCCAGTGGCTGAATAGTATACGAGCTTGCCTTGTAACCAGAAGGTCCTGGGTTCGAATCCTGATAGTGGGTGTGTACTAATGATGATTCCCAAACTAGGATGGAGGAAACAGCTGTCCAGTACTTCCAGCTGGTGGAGTTCAATGGTTCTCCAACTGGAATCAATCCATGGTCAAACTCGTAAAAAACAGATTTAATCCTTATAAACCAACTCTTGAAAATTGTATGATTTGTGATCAAAATTTGACCAAAGACTTACAAATATTGTTCTACTTTTGTTAAACACTCAAAGCATAGTATACTTTACATCAGGATTTTGAGTGATTACATTCGACTAAAAGTTCATGGTTGTAGATAACTGAATATGAAAATATATGTGTATATGCGGTTTAAAATGGTGTGTGTGTGCATGTGTGCATGGGTAAACAGTTGTTAAACATTTGTTAACCTCTCCATAAGAAGATATAGACAATTGGGAATTTAGACCAAGTATGATTAATTAGTAATATATGTCCATTTTTTATTTATTAATCAGGATTTGCCATGCATCAGCTAACATCACACCTTCACGTCTGTTCAAACTGTTAGTATCTAGAATTTTATGAATAGACGTATTTTCAAAATTATGGTGGTTAGGATTAGAGTTCAGTTGAAACACCTTGTCGAACTTATTGCTTTGTCTTCTCTTTGAAGATTGAGCTGCTTTAATTGACCTACTGGAGTTGTCAGGTGGCTTGACAGCTACGGACCAGATTGCCGAACGAAACATTGGAATGACTTATTTCAATTTCGCTGAGATTTTACAAATATAATTTTTAAAAACGTCTACTTCTCACTCGGCGCCCAATTATTTTAGAACTATTCCGTCAAATCTTGACCGCAGTTCATATGAATGGTTAAGCAACTGTATGATATTTTGATGTCATTGAGTTCTCTCAGCTGAGCTGGGCTGAGTTGAGGTGGGTGGATGATTTAATTGCGAAGCTTTCAATGTCCTTCTAGACAACATCTTCATTGCAAGTGCTAATATGATATTTAGATGATTCTATTTGATATGAATTTTAGCATAACTATTCATGTTACTTAATCATAATAACAGTAGTAATATAATAATAACAGTAAAGCTTTATTTCAGACAATATGTGAGCATTTATTACAGATATTTTCAGCGTATTTAGTTCCAAAATATTTCCTCTTCAGATAGAATTTACATGTAAAGCAAGTACATCTGAAGTACATCATCTGGTAAAGTTCAACAACAGCGTCCCAAGGGATGCAAACGCACCAGTGACCTAGAGTCAACCAATCATGAAAATGAGGGATTTTAGCACAAAAAATTACCTATATTTACAAAAAAGAGCATGATAACACATTAAACAGGGTATTTCTCTTTGATATGGCTTAAAAATATGCCCCAGTTCTAATGGGGAGTGTCAGTTTTTAAATTAAACCAATTCCTTTACATATATTCATCCAGGTGATGAAAAATAACTCGGTTTTGAGAGCCGTTTATTGTTCTAATCCTATTTTTTAATCTCCCCAAGAACCCCTCTAATGAATTATTATGAGTGCCAGCTGTGGAATCGACGAAATCATCCGAATGGTTAACTCGATTGTGTATCTATCCCAAATCCGATAAGTGGTTATATCCTGCCCATTCATCGGTGTGGATAGTGGTGCCAGGCAAAACGAGTTTTTGAATAATAGGCAGAAGAATGTCGGCACTTCGGTCTGGAATAACTTCCATCATCCCTTTCTGAATTCGGGTGTCGTAAATTCCCAGTACCCAAACGTTGTTAGCTCTAGCACGATCACGATTGTATTTCTTCTTTATCATCACTGTTTCGTCAATGTGAACGATAACACTGACTCCTCCCAATACTTGTGTAATATTTTTCATTTTCCATTATGCTAAATCTTGACAAAATTGAAACCACTGTACAGTTGACGTCAACGTATTTTCTGTCTGAGCAGCAGTTGACCTCAGTCCGGACTTCAAAATCCAGTAATGGCAATGAAACAGTTTATTTGTCAAAGAAAGTTTTGATTTTGCGAAGAAAAATTCCTAGAAAACAATTAACTGAGCGTATCACTTACCGGTACGAACACTCGTTCGTTTCCTACACTCCATACCTCTAAATATATGTATCCATCAATAACTTGTGAATACGGTTGCAGGTTCATTGAAGCACCGCAACTGCATATGCCAGCACGTCCTATCAATCCAATATCTAGAAAGTATTAAAAAAAGTGATCTGGGTGAAATGTGCACCTGAGCTCATGAACGGGGTTCATTTTTATGCTAGAATAATCGTAGGTTTCTTTAGCCAACCACTAGCATGCGTTCAAGGTCATTTGAGCGTTCGCACTGCTGGGACACAATTATTGAACTTCACCCATCATTGGTCATAGTGTTGTTGACCATATGAAGAGAAAACCAATTCCTTTACATTTTTTCTTCAATTCCTTCAAGAATTTCATAGCATATAGTGGGAAACTAATTAAATATGAGCGCAAGTTCATGTACTAGCCATTTGATATAATTACACGATTAAAACAACAATAAGAAGGGCAGAATAGTTTAAGCAGCATTTCAATGGATGGAAATTCTGGTAGCTCAGTGATTTAAACAGGCCGCCAATTAGGATGACAGTTGTTACCTATTGATCATGTTGGACAGGATGTGAAAAAAACTATTAGTGCCTTTCTTTTGAACTTAAACACACAACATTTCACAAACGGATGAATAAACTTTCCGATTGAACTGCTTATCTCCAAATAAGATTAGCCCATATATATATATATATATATATATATATATATATATATATATATATATAAGTAATTATTACCAGTATAGTGGTATTCTTGAAATGTCATTTTCAAATGGGTTTATCTTTTACAGAATTTATCATTTTTGTTTGCTCGCATAATCTTTATAATAAAATAACATTTCAATATGAATCTGATAACTTTGTGACTTCAGAGTGAATTAATCCAGTGATCGTTTGTATCACAGTAGAAATATATCAATGAGATTATCACTGCTTTGAATAATGAATAGATCGTCATAAATTTAGCCATATTTTTTAATAATCTTGATAAGGAAATCTTTAATATTAGAAATAGAATAAGCCCTACAGGAGAACACGTGGTGAGAGATAAGTAAGTGTATCATGATTTTCGGGAAATATCCAATCAACGTAATTAGGTGTAGTGAAGTGAGGACAAGAATCAGGTCTCTTTCATACAATCAATAACTTAAACTTTACCCCAGTTTGTCCAGTATAAAGTACTTTTCATATTACGCAATTAGGCATGAATAAAGCAGAATGCTTTCCTTGTCATTTATTTGTTTAAATATTAACTAACTAACTAACTAACTAACTAACTAACTAACTAACTAACTAACTAACTAACTAACTAACTAACTAACTAACTAACTAACTAACTAACTAACTAACTAACTAACTAACTAACTAACTAACTAACTAACTAACTAACTAACTAACTAACTAACTAACTAACTAACTAACTAACTAACTAACTAACTAACTAACTAACTAACTAACTAACTAACTAACTAACTAACTAACTAACTAACTAACTAACTAACTAACTAACTAACTAACTAACTAACTAACTAACTAACTAACTAACTAACTAACTAACCAACTAACTAACTAACTAACTAACTAACTAACCAACTAACTAACTAACTAACTAACTAACTAACTAACTAACCAACTAACTAACTAACTAACTAACTACTTTACTTCTTACTTATTTACTCACTTACTTGTAGAAGGAGGCTTCTAAAGAACAGTGAATCTTTTTTGATTGGACACTTGCCAGTAACTAGTGTAATGTGTGTCGGTGGCACAATGGTTAGGACTCTCGCCGGTTCGATCCCCTGCCGACGCACACCTGGTATCAATGGTCGGCCTGCAAAATTTGGGCTACCGATATCACATGCTGAAAATTCCATACTTGTACCAAAAAACGGTGTGGAATCAAGCTGTAATCAAAAATAAAAATCTAGTCCTATCTTTGGTGCAGACTGAATTCTATCAGTCAAGTTTGCAATGTGGCCACCATGCTACTACTAGGTGGCTTACCATCATAATGCATTGTGAATTGTTGATATTAGATGGTTGAAGGCAATCGGTAGGAAGCCTAGAGGAAGTCAGTTGTGAGCCTGAATAGCTCATTGGTAACGTCTCTGACTGACTGCAGTGTT